TTCACAAGATGACCTGCGCAGTCCTAACAGCTGCCATATTTTGATTCTGTTTCTTAAAACACAAAATAGGGCATATTCCAGCTAATCACTGCTTATCACCAGTGGCAGTGCTAGCCCAGCCAACTCTTCATTTTTCCACCAGGTCTCACAGGGTGGGTACCATCTTACTCCTTCTGAGGACTAGCCTCATTCTGAGCAGGGCTCTTGGCCATTCTCACTAATAACAATGTAAGCTGGGTGGAAGCATCTCTGGCTGAACTATGTTTTGGTCATCTCAGACTCATTTTGCGCATGTCTGTTGTTAAGTCTGACCTAGAAATACTCTGCTAAACTCTGCTAGAGTTCTTTTCCAGTTACAGATACTGAGCTGGAAAAGGACTGCGCGTAGAGAAGCCAAGCAGTATGCTCCACACACCACCAAATTCCACTACAGGCAGCTGAAATCGTATTCTGATTTTAGAAGCCTTAGTCCAGCTTCAACTCACAGATGAGTTACAATGCCTTCAGTCTTGATCTTTGACCACTTAAGGGCTTATTTTATACCTAATTCTGTACATAAAATGAGAATAATATTAGTATTTTGACACTTTTTAAACAACATGGAGGTACATGATATAGCAAATAATAGGGGTAAATAAAATCATAGTGATTTTTCAGATTTCTCAGAAGAAAACAACTATAACGATTTTCTGCCTCAAGCTTCAAGACATACCTTATTCCGATAAAATACAGTGGCCTTCAATCCTTCCTATTGGTGGGCATGAACTCCACACTGTAAAGATTTCAGTAAGGAGTGATGCATCTCAAATCAAAGAGCTTGTCTCATTGCTGTCTGATGATGTGTACTATGTGACACTGCCTTTTCTTACAACCAAGATTAGTGTTTTATAACACTACCATGTTCTGCAGTTCAGAACTGACATACAAATGGAGGCATACAGGCCACCACTGGCAGTTGGCATTCCTTGCCTCATTTCTGGCAGGCTTGCATCTCTTGTAGTGACATTTCTGACCCAAATCTCTCTTCTCTTTCAATGAAATCACTGGCAAATTTCCCAACACCTTGAATAAGAACAGAATTGGGTCCCATGACCACAAGATGCATGTGCATCTCTCACCATACTGTAAAGAGCAAATGGCCATGATTGCTATCTAGAAATTCAAACTAAGGGGTGGTAACATCTGAGAGTGAGTTGATCATATTAACACTCAAGGCAAAATCTATTCCAAATGGCAAAATCTGTTCCAACTGCCTTAAAATACTGCTTCTCTGATTCAAGTTACCTACCTCACACAAAAAAGAAAAATAAATTACTCTTTGCCTATCAAGAAAACAAAAAACATTTACTGCAAGTATAAAAATAAATAATTTGTTTAGAGTATTTTTCGTTAAAATTCATCTGTGCAAGTAATTTCCCTGAATATTCTTTGGAAAGAAAACAGCCCCAAAAGAAAATTCTTAAAATATATTTTCTATTTTTTGCACAGTTTTTTAGAAAAGGGGTTTTATTATTTCATTCTGCCTTGGTCAATGTAATTCAGCATTTATAAAACTGCAGTGCCAGAAGCTTTTCACATAATCTTAGAGTGGTATAAAGCAACGCAGAAACGTTTTAAAAGCAGCAGGTACCATTCTTAGTCTAGGACCTGTACTGAAGGTAGTTGCTTTTCAAGTTTAGCAGGGGAACAATTAATAAAGGAACCCATTAAGGTCTGATTGTTGCTGCTAAAAAGGAAGGTTGAATTTCAGTCCTTTGAAGTGACTGAGAATGATTCAGGCCTCATTACAGAGATATAATCTACATTCATACATTTATGTTAGTGATTCAAATCTATTGGGACAGATTGAATTCCGTTAAATAGTGCATCTTTCCTGTGGAACTTTTCTCAGGCTTTCTCAGGCTAACCTAAAAGGTGACCTGACAATACAAAGTAGTGGGGTATTTAGGGATTCAACTGTGCTATAAAAGAAAGGCTATACAGAAAGTAGAAAAAAGAATGAGATACAATCTAAAAAGCTATGTCAGCTTTTCATTTGGACTCTGTTTTGTAAATGCCCTCACTGTCATCACACAGGGTAAAAAAGGACTCTATGAGTTGTAGTTGTTTTAAGAACTGCACTGAATACTGCACCTGCCAGAAGCAGATTTAATATGAAACTCCAGATATGTGGGTTTTGTTCTTGACCACAAGATCAACATACAGCCAATCACAAGCTGTACAAGAAATAGGTCTAAGAAGAACTCTTCTTGAGTAAATTCATGACAGTACCTATTTTTTAAATGAGTAGGTGTTAAATATCTGTTTGACCTCCAAACTACCATTTTTTTCCTGCCACCAGAGATCCTAAAATACCAATTCATTGTATTTTCCAGCATTTGACAGGAAAAGAAAAATGAAAGGTTTCCTCAGGTGTATACTTTTAAGACATTATACTGATTATTTATGATGTAAGCGGTTGGAATCAAAGGAACTTCAGTTTTAGAAACAATGTATTGTACCGTTCATGACCTAGGCAGCAAGCAAACATTGACATTGGCTTTGTATCCACATGTTAGCTGCCTGGTGTTCACCAAAAAGCAGGCTTTTGCTTTTCATTTTGGTTTTATTTTTATTTTTATTTTTAATTTATTATGAGTTGCCAAAAAAGGAAAGCCTAAAACCAGATTCACAAAAGGAAAAAAAAAATCTGAAATGCTTCTCAGTGCAAATATACGCAGAATACTCTGAAGTACTATAAACAACACCATAAAACATATTGATTCTAGCATTAAATTGTTTCATTTTTAAGGCTGTTTAAATGTCGCCTCCAGAAGCCGAACACATAAATTTCAGAACTGACTCTCTCCAGAATAAACATCACAATTGGAGAAGATAATTTCTAATTTCTGTTGTGAAGTTATCAATATATTTAACATCCTAATCTAATGAATCAATCTAATTTAGAACTATTTGTTCTTTTCTGCATTTTCTGTTGTTTAAATTAAAATTTATTCCAAATGCCAAATGCAACTGCATAGGCCATTTTCCATTGCATTCTACTGAGCTACATTATTAAACTGCCTCTATTTAAAAAAAGTTCTGGTTTTATGTATTGAGCTACTCACTGTGTTTCCGTACTACTTCATTCCTTTGCTACTCCATTCTGTTAGTGAAAGTTCCACCTACTTGCGTTCCAAAACAGTTATTTTACAGTACTAAATACTGAACTAAAACCTACTGTTTTGCATGCTGCCCATATCCTGTCAGTCCCTGATCCCTTATTCTGGTGTGAAAAGATCATATGGAAGATGCCTGTTACTTACTGGGAAAGTTGACAGTTCAGTGACAGGCTAGAAATACGAATCTGTCATAACATTCAGTATGTGAAATGACAAATCCATTAGGAAAGATGAAATCAAAGAGAAAAACAACAACATATGCCCCTCCAGCAAAATAATAGCTTGAAAAATCGCTTTAAAATAGCCTTGAAAATGGAAAATTTGTTTCTTTCTGGCAAAGGGAACTGCCATTAGTTAAAAAAAATAAAAAAAGACAGCAAAAATATTCAGACATTTTATGGGGAAACCTTTGCAATCCCAATAAAGCCCCTTTTGCTTTGAAGTCAGATGCATGATTCAGTAAATGACTCATGTTAGCAATTAGAAAATGGTCACTTAGGGCCTTGATTTCTTTTGAGACAAGGATGGTGAGGGTGGGGTAAGAGACTCAATAAATCTTGAGAGGCTTAAAAGGAAGAGCAGGCTAAAGTGTGAACTTTTTATTTCAGCAACGGAAGCGAGAAATCAGTGATTCATTATAGGAGGGAGAAAGACCTCCATGGAAGCTGGCAAAGAGGGAAAAGGAGCTAATTATGCCTATTCCCTTTTTACTCTCTCTGACCAGCATATAATCTGTTTTTCCAGGGTCTGCCTGTAGTATACACTTCTTTCCAACCTCTCCACCCAACCCCTCCTCCAGCGGGGGGGAGGGGGAGATCTAGCAGGCAACAAGCTCCAGGTGGCTTTCTCAATCACTTCACTGCCAAAAAAATAAAATAAAATCCTCCGCTAGGAAACAAGTTTCTATTTTCGGGGGGGGGGGGGGGGGGGGGGCGAGGGGGGAGAGTAGGGGTGGAGGGGGAGGGAAGCTTCTCTGGAGGGGATTGGTTCAGCCTGGAGGACAGGGAAATTAGTAAAGCATGAGTCTCTAAACCATGCTGGTGGCCGGCGCTCCGAGGAGAAGGACGCTTTAGGAGCAATTAGCAGCGAGCCGAAGGCAGCGGCGGCGGCTGCCGCTGCAGCGCGAGAGGAAACGAGGGCAGCTCCCGGGGCTGCGTCCGCAGCAGGCACCGCTCGCTCCAGCTGCAAACGGGTTTCAGATGTCCCACTGCTGTTTGACCCCCTGCAAATAAGGGTTGACCACCAGAGGCACATCCCACCTCTGACTTGTATTCGCTGACATTTAGGCTACAACTTCCAACCTGTTTACAACCCAAGGAGGGGGGAGAAAGGGAAGAGGGGGGAACAAGTTCGGGTTCCCCCCCCCCCGATTTTTTTTTTTTATTGTTTTTTAATACTGTTCTGGAGGATTCAAAGCAAAACAAAGACAATCCCTGCTCTGGGGTTGTCAGTGAGAAAGGACGTGTCGTGCAACTGGTTTGGGATTTGCAAAAGGCGAGAGGGTGGGGATCAGAAGAAGGTGCAAAGCCACAAAGTGTGAGTGCGTTTGTAAGGGGTATGAGTGAAAAATCCCTCCTGGCACCCCTTTCCTCTCATTATTTTTGTTGTTGTTGTTATTGTTGTTCACTTTGGTGTCATCTATTTTTCAGACCTTTCTGCATCTAAGATGGTGAAGAAAGGAGTGAGGAAGAGAACAAAATAACTACTGGGAAGTCTCCAACCAGGTTGGGGAGTGTATGTGCTTGTGGGGGGGGGTGGAGAGGGAAGAGAATAAGGAAAGAGGATTAACCACAGCAATCCCCCCCCCCCAAAAAAAAAAAAAAATCCAACAGCCTTTTTTCTGAGGGAGGACTCGAAGGATTAAAAGGCAGAAACTTCTGAGGCGATTTGTCCCCTGAGTTATGGATGTTGGTACACTTACTTCAGGCCAGATCAGAGCTCAGAGGAATCTAACCAGAAGCAGCAACCACCGGCTCGCCACTTGCTTTTTACCAGGTTTTACCCTTCCAGTATGTTTCATTTGATAAGACATTTTCCAGCGCCCAGAGTTTCAGTACAATGTGCAAATGGATACTGATAAATGGTGCCTCAGCCTCTTCCCACCTGCCTTGTTGCTGCTTACTGCTGCTCTTCTTGGTGTCTTCTGTGCCTGTCACCTGCCATGACCTCAGCCAGGACATGCTGTCCCCGGAGGCCACCAACTCTTCTTCTTCATCATCCTCCTCCTTCCCCTCGTCCTTCTCCTCTCCTTCCAGTGCGGGGAGACACGTGCGGAGCTACAATCACCTCCAAGGAGATGTGCGCAAGAGGAAGCTCTACTCTTACAACAAGTACTTTCTCAAGATCGAGAAGAACGGCAAGGTCAGCGGCACCAAGAAGGAGAACTGCCCCTTCAGTAAGTACGACTCTGCCGGTGCGCTGCCCCCCGAGCCAAGCGCCCGGCGGCGGAAGCCCCGGCCCCGCAATCCCGAGCCGGGGAGGGAAAGGAAGGGGAAGGTGACGGCTCGGCAGGGGAACGGAGGGTGGGCTCCTCAGGGACTACGCTCCTCGCCAGGCCATATCTGCAGATCTCTCCGGTTACATTTGTTCTGCAAATGCCTTCACCGAGCACGGTTTGTTTCTTTGCCTGGCAGAAATGCAAATTAGAAAGATTTGTAAGGATGTGGCGCGGAGCGGGGCGGAGGGGGGGGTGGGGCATTGTCTCCCGAATCTGAAAATCATTATCCCCTGTCATACGAGTGTCTTGACGAGAACGCTGTATTGAAACAATGCATCGTTTTCCCACACGCACACACACACGCTCTTCTCCCTGAGCAGCATTAAGATCTGTCTCTCCCGCTGCCCTCTCTCCAGCCAGGAGCAGGGGCTGCTCCGAGGGCTGGGTCTTTGCCCCGAGTGTGCTGTCCGCCGTGGGGGTGCCCGGCGGGCTCGGCAGCCGGTGCTGTGCCGCGGAGCCACCCGCGGTGCGACGATGCCGGTGCCTGCTGCGTCCCTGGAGTGCGCCCCGCCGCTCCGGGGCGGCAGCGCCGCCGTACCGCTGCTGCCCCATTGTAAACATGTGAGGCGGCCTTCCCTTAGACCTCACACGCGTTTCATTGTCGGATGGGTTTCTGGTTGGGAATTTTTTGTTTGGTTTTGTGTTTTTTTTTTTGTTTTGGGTGGGTTTTTTTGTTTGGTTTTGTTTTTGTTTTTTTTTTAGAAAGTATTTCAAAGCAAAAGTCATATGGCTGTCTCCATGGCTGAAGTTTTCTGTAGCACTAACTAGGTTTTTAGTACTAACTGGCTTCTGGTAATGTATTTTTCACTGTCAGTGCTAGAAATGTAGCCTTTATTCAGTTTTCCTTTTGTGTAATCTCAAACTGAAGTAACTGTATGTAGCAAACCAAAATATATTGTATTGTAACTCTCATGTGACTACATCCCACTATAGGAGCATGCTGTTATGCCACTGTTGGAGGAAACTCTCTTGACCCACTTCAGTGGTGGAAAACCACGTTTTGGTTCTTGAGTTGGTTTATATAAATCCAGATAAACCTGGGAACTTAAGTAGATCCCTTGTTAGCTAACGTGTAAAGTATGGAGTTCTTCAGCAGGTTGCTATGCCGCGTGATAGACATTACTGTTAATTCAGTTGTATTTCTCTTAAGTACATGTAGTATAGGCTTAGAAACAGGGAGGAGAAGGCTGCAGTATCGTATGTCACTACTTCACTTGCTCCACCTTGCAGCTTCATACTTTATCACACGTTTAATGTTTGTACAAGCTTTAGGTGCCAAAGCAGCTGAATCTTACCGCCTCCCTGTCTGTATTTCATAGGAAGCCAAGTTCTTGAAAAACAAAGGTTTGACAAAGGCTTCACTTTGTATTTGTTTGGAATGAGGTCTTAGCACTGTATTTCTTAGATTAATTTTGTTTGTGGAGGAGGATGTCATAATTCCCCTAAAGTGGGATTCTGAAAACTCCTCTGAGAGCATCAAGCCATTCTGTGTAAGGAGCCCAATCTGACAACAGTGTACTCAGAGAAGTAACTAATGCTCTGAGCAGTCCCACTTAACCAGCAGAGCTGTTCAGTTGCACACGTGCAAGAGCTTCTGCAAGATCTTACCAAGAAAAGGTAAGCTACGCTGAAATTCATGTATACATCTTTCTATTTGTTAAGTCTGCATGCAAGAACAACCCCCTGCAACTGTGTGGTATGATTCTCTTTCCCTAGTTCTTCAGTCAGTACACCAGAAAGAGAACTGTCATTCTCAGTGATATCATCATTGTCACATCTGCAGAGTATCTGCTGAAAGAGAGGAGAATGTATTTTTTTTCATATAAAAACAAAACAATGCCTTTATTATACATAGTTGTATCCTGTCCCTCAATTTTATGTGCAGTGAAGAAAGAACTCCCATCATCTTAAAACTTGTAACTGGCTAACCACACTTAAATCGCAGAGTCAGATGTAGAGTACAACATCTTTTAATACAAAACAATTAGGATCTTGTTAGCAGAAGATAAACCTGTTTGACTTATGTTCCTTAGCAGTCATTATAATCTGCAATGTGATATTGTATATTCTGCAGAAGTACCTAGCCTGAGACAATTTAAGAATATGTTTAATGTGCCTTTATTTCAAGGGTGTCTCTATAGCAAAATGTTGCAGGTGATTCACAAAAGCTATTCTTTTCATAACCTCATGTGTAGCTCTGCCATCATAACACTTCCATAACCCCCAGCTGGACTGAATCCATGCAGATATATTGTATCTTTAAGATAGTCTAAAATACATAATTAGGTATGACTAGAACTCCACCATGCATAGAGTTAACCACCCAGCCAACTACATTGTAGCCCATTTAACATAAAAAATCATTACTCTCTAAGTTCCTCTTTCAAAATTATGCTTTCCTAAGTAATAGTGGCTATTGACACACAAGACTTTGAAATATCCTCATTTGGAAGCTAATTTTCTTTTTCTCGTATGCTAATGTTTAAAATCCATTTATGCTGCAGTAAAGCCTTATCTGTAGGGCTGTAAGATCACTATATGTTGTGTAATTAGACAACAGCTTTCGTGGCTGTCTGCCAATTAAGCACTGTCAAGAAGAACAGTTGGAGAGTCAGAATAAACATTCAGAAAACAGAATTTAGTCTCCAGCTTTTAAATGACTCAAGCAGCATTCATAGATTTTCTTTATAAATATTGTGTAGAGTGTGCTAAATTAAAGTTTACTCTGGCAGATGTTTTCCAACTTGATTGCTTTTAACTATTCCATCAGCTTTTCTCTACCTATCGGGTAATGGGAACAAAGGTGGCTTCTGAGTACTTTGTCAGGAGGCTGGGGGAACTTAACAGCATTTAGCATAGCTAGAGGGTGTGTGTCACTAGATAGAAGTAGGATGCTTTTTAGGTTTTGGTTTATAGTTCCTTGCATATCAAGTTTTGTCCTCAAAATGCAGTTTGGGACTACCTCATCCCTCAACACCACAGCTGTGAAGTTTCTTGCCCCTCTTCTTGACAGTCATTTGTATGCATGAATAAGGAGATCTGTACTGCTTTCTTGTGACTTAAGTAGTTGTGGGGACGGGACAAAACAAAACCAAAAAAACATCCAAAGAGGAATTACAGAAGTTTTCAGTATAACTTGAGGCCTGGGATGACCAAGAGAAGCTTAAGCCATATATTAAACTGAGAAAGAGCTGCATGTGTGCAGATTCTGACTTCACTTGAAGTGTTTTGCAGAAAGCTTTCTTGAAGGTAGTGAAAATTTGGGTTTAATGAATAGCATTCGTCAGGCTGTGGAACACATGATAAGCTGGTTCAGGAAAATCTGAATGTATTTTCCAGCATTATACTATTTTCAGTTGACTTTTAAAACAACTGTTTATAATGCTATGAAGCACAGATTTCTAATTTATAGAACAGATCTTAGTAGCTGAAGAACAGTAGCACAATATTCAATGCTTGATTAGTAGCAGCCAACCAGAAGTCTGTAGGGGGGAGTCCTGCCTGAGCAAGGATTGCAGGATCAGGCCATTATTTAAGTACGTGTTTAGGGAACGGAGACTATGTCATTGAGCTTGGATGTTAGTGGGAGGAATTGGTGCGGCGATTTCTGCGAGCGTAGACCAAGTAGTGCTATTAAAAACCTACAGTAGATGGCGGTACAGCCACTGTCTAGTGTCACCTCTGCTCGGTCAAAGAAGGTGGACAAGAAGGGGCTGGAGCCTCAGCTGTGTGAGCTAATTTACACCAAGGAAAGCTGAAAGATCTTACACCAACCAAGATTCTATTAATCGGCCTTCTAGGCATCCAAAGTGAATTAATCCAAACAGTGCAAAGGCACTGCAGTTGCAGAGTAAAAGTGTTTACTGAGGGACCTAGCATGAAATAATTAGCTACTTCTCACCAGCTAACCTATTCCAGGTTTTTCCCTGAGTATGCAATTATCTTTTATACATAGCTTTAGGATCTGCTGAAGTCCCTAACAGTCTTTGGTTTTACTTTAGTTATTGTGGGATCAGATTAGCAACTCAGTGACTGTAGCAAGAAAATTCTAAGCCCCATTGTGTAGCCCAAAAGATTGTAAACAACCAGTCTTCTAGAAATGCTGAACGTTATTATCAAGAGTTTAAGTGTGTGTTTGTACGCATGACATATAAATACAGGTTTGTGTTGTATTTGTGGTTATATACATAAAAACAGCATTAAATGTGTTTTGATTAAGTATACTCAGTTTGATACTAATTTTTTTTACTATACCTCAGGCGTAATGAAATCATAAAGCTTATTAGGTCCCTTAACCTCAGCTGTAAAGCTCAAACCAGACTGGAATACTTGGTAAAATGTGCTATTTTCCTACTAAACATTTTTGAAACCACCTTTTGGGGCTTATCAACTCCTTATGAACTCATGTTTGTAAATTAATGTGAGAACTTTTCCCTGTGTGTCTGAAGACTGATTAGTAGGCATATATGTTTTGTTGTTTTATTCTCCATAGGTATCTGGTTTACTTTTTAAGCAACCAAAAGACTTTAAATAGGAAATAATACTGTTTCAGTGAAGTACTTGGAAATTCTTTAATACAAAATGGGTAAGTTCTCATGGAGATGATTTCTCACTTTAAGGCTTTTTTTTCTTCTGCAGAACTCACATAATTTATAACCAGCAATATACAACCTTAGACACCTAGGATTTATGAATGTGGAAAGAATTGTGCTATTTAACATCTACATGACACTTTCATGTTACCCTTACTGCATTCCTGCCTTGTGGACCCTCCATGCTGATACTGTAGTCCTGTCATAAATCTGTTCAAAATACACAGTTGTAAGAGGTCTTTTTGTCTTCATAAATCTAACTTATAGCCACTTTTAGAAAAAAAAATAAAAATGGGGGTAATTGGA